TCAGGAATCCATGGTAGGGTCTAATCAAAGGTAAGTGTTGGGTGAACAATAGGTATTATTCCATGAATTATTGGAGGCAGGGGTATCGATGCCAGCATTAGCTGAGATTTGTTTAAGGTTAATAATGTCTGGGAACGTGTTTGGGATCTGGCTCAACTTAGGTGTTATCAGGTGTGTGGGGCCTAGGACAAAATTCTGAAAACGATTAACTTTCTTGCTTCCCCCTTAAAGTGGGAACATAACTTCTTTGGCTTATTCAGAGGCAAAATATGGAACATGAGCAAACGGGGCCTAGCAGAAAAACAGCAGAGATGGAGCCTTTCTAAAATGGAGTCCCTTCAGCTTTCCTACTTCAGTATCATTTTGTTTTATAAGTTCATTTTCAGTAAGTTCCTTTAGTGAGAGTTAAGTAATAAAATTCTCTCCATTTTTGTTTGGCATAGTCCAGCTGGAACCACTTTATTATAGATTTTTAACTTGGGAATTTTCATGCCACATAATTAGTGTAAATCCTAGCCCTACTGTCCATCTGAAGTCTGGCCTGATTATGAATTTTCAGCAGGAGCTTTCTGGCATAAATATACCTGCCTGAGTCAAGCTGACAAAAGCAAACATTTATGTTTGGCATGGCGAGGGAAGGGCGGGGGTGGGAATAGTTTGACTTCTGGTTTTTTTTCTTTTTTCCAGTTCACCTTTGCACTACAGATGTTTCTTTTCAGTGGCCTCAGCTTTACGCAGGAGTCTCTGACCTGACTTTTCACCTTGCTCTCTAAGGAGTCCCTGGCACTTCTAAGCCCTGTTACAATTGCAGCTCTAGGTTTGGGGAGGCCTACAGAGATAGGTAGATACCCCCAGGACAGTGCCATCGTTAGTACTTACATGCCTTCAGGAATTCCTGGCTCTATGATTTTGGCTTTTTCCTTCACCTTCTTGCTGGCTCAGTGGTGCATTTAAAGGACCTTTAAAAAAAAAAAAAACTTTTATCAAGCAGTGGTAAGTGTTGCATACAAGGGCAGCTTTTAAGGATCTACTTAAGTTGCTAGAACCAATGCATTCCACTCTTAATAACTTCTGCATGGTGGCCAGGAGGACTGGCTTTCTCCTCCATCCGTATAACTCACCAAATTGCATGACCTTGGCCAACCTCTGTAAATCTCAGTTTTCTGAGTTTCATTACCTGGGGGCTCTTTATTAGATCCCTTAAAAGAGAAATCTTCTCAAACTTGCATCACTTCCTTCTGGGAAGGGATTTAGCTTTTTTGATAAAACCCTTAAACTTCTGGTAAACTTTAATGAGATTAAGACTTCTTATGGGAAATACACTTGACTATCGGCTGAAAAGGAGTCTAAAAATAATTAACCATGCTATTTTTCTTTTGCTGTATACTCTATATTCATTCTTTTTTTCCTTTAAAATACCCCTATCAAGAGTGGATCGGTGAATTGGCTTCCTGCAGGGTTTCTCTTCTTGCAACAAGACAGAACTGAAACTATGATGTATGCTTAATAACTGAATAGTCCAAAAAGTTCTCATTAACATCTTAAATGTTTAAAAGAATTTAAATGGATTATCTTTATTTTCAACTTTCAGCTATAAGTTTAGAGGCACTATACACAAACCAGACTGTCTTATTTCCTACTGGTAATAAGATATTCATGAACTGCAAGGATGTTCTATTACCTTCCAAAAGAACTTTTTCTGTTTAAAATTTTTGTGCAAATTGGAAAACAAAATGTACCTTGAAAAGTTTAAATAGAATTGTTAAGATCAGGCATGAGTTTAACTTGCATTTCCTGTTGATATGCAAATTTGGGGATTATTCTGGCCATGGCACCCCCCCAACATTCATTATTATGTTAATGAGAAGAAAAGTATTACATTTTTAATACATGGGGCTCCCTATGAAGAAACTGAGGACTGGCTACGTGGAAAAAAAAAAAAAAGAAAGAGGATTTTTCTGACTCCTTTTTAGTTCACATTGATTACGTAAGGTTGAAATAACATCTTGGTGATTTAGCTGAACAGTAATAAAAATTAAGCAGTAGAGTGTTAGAAGATCTAGATTTCTCACACAATGAATTTTAGTAAATTTAGTGAATCACCTATATATGCTTCAGTCCTCTCTGTAACATGAGGATACCAGAAACTCAGCATTTGAATCAAAATGATCAGGAGTCAAGGGCACCTGGCTGGTTAGTCGGCAGAGCACGAGACCCTTGATCTGGGGTTTGTTCGAGCCCCACGCTGGGTGTAGAAATTACTTAAAAATAAAATCGTAAAACAAAACAAAAGAATGCACTGGGTTCACATTCCAACTGAAACAGTTCCCGGTGGTTTTAACTTAGCCAAGTTCCTTATGCTCATTTGTGAGGCAATTACATCGAAGTTTAGGTTTGTCGTGAGGATTAAGTGGCATCCAACACACGCACCGAGAAAGAGCAAAGCACAGAGAGAGGGAGAGAGTACGTTTGAAGCCTATATATTAGCTTTATCTACATTAATCCAATTATTTAATGATTGTTTTATCCTTTTTTTTTTAAAGGTGTCTCCATTGTATTCCATTTACTATTTCATAGCAAGCATCACTCTTTCTCCTTGCCTTTCGGCTCTACCATGTAAAGAAGTGTCAGTCACTTGATGTTAAAGGCAGATCATTGCAAGTTCAAGAAGAGTCACCTGTATTTCGGTGGGACCTCCCCAGGGTGTGCGTGTGTCTCTGCGTTTGCACTTAGGCGTGATTGGAAAGAGCAAAGGGACCAGTGTTAGAGCTCCGCGTAGGTGCTTGGCATTGACTAAGTGCAGTCAAAACACCCGTGAGGGGAGGGTAGTTCTCCGGAGCTCCTGGACACTTCAAGCTGCTAAGGGGCAGCTTTTACAAAAGAATTGCCTTTGGAAAAAAGTATTTTCTTTAAAAAACAAACAAACAAACACAAACTTCCTTGAGAAGGAATTGCAGATCTTACAGGAATATGGGGCCCAGCTTGGCTCCATTACACTGACGAGGGTGCAGACACCTGAGAACTCGGGTTCCACAGTAGGTCGAGCTCCTCAGCTCATTTTTTCTGCGACTTTCCCTCCGCACCCGCAGGCCCGCAGGAGGCCACCCACCCCCTCGGGGCCCAAGAGGCAGGAGGCGGGAGTGGGGCGTCTCAGGACACAGCACAGCTCTTGCCACCCTTTCGGTCTGACCAAGAAAAAGGAAGGAGGAGAAGGAAGAGAGGAGAGGGAAAGCGGAGAGAGGGAGAGGAAGACAGGAAGGAGGGCGAGAGAGAGAGAGAGAGAGAGAGAGAGAGGGTGGGGAGGGGGGGAAAGACAGGAAGGAGGGCAAGAGAAGGGGGGGTGATGAAAGGCAGGAAAGCAAAAGAAAGAAGGCAAGAAAATAACCAAAAAAGGGGGGGGCAGGGAGAGAGAAAACATAAGGGAAAAAAACCAGGGAGAGCCAGGGAGCTTGGCCGGAGGGAGGAAGGAGCGAGGAGGAGCTGGAGGAGACCGCGCGGACAGCGAGCATCGTTTGCAGCCCAGGTTGACCCGGGGGCGCCCCAGGGCTGACCCAGGCGCGGGAGGCCGGGCTTTGCGTGCTGGGCGCCCCGAGCCCGGCGTCCGGGGGGCTCTGGGCCGAGCCCTCGGGGAGGGCCGGGGGTGCCGGGGCGCCGAGGCTGGCCGAGCCCTGCAGGTCGCGCGGGGAACTGCTCGCCGGCCGGTCCTGCGGCGCCGGGCGGGGGGGCCGCGGGGCGCGGGGCGCGGGGCGCGGGGATGTGCGCGGCCGAGCTCGCCCGGGCGCAGCGGGAGCAGCCGCGAGTCCCCGCGCGGGAGCTGCCGAGAGGCCGCGGTGAGTGCCCGGGGGCGGTCCCGGGGCGCCCCCACCTCGCCCCCGCTCGCCGCCTGCACCCCGGGGTGCTCTGGGGGCGCACACGCCCGGCGCCCGGCGCCCGGGGGGCTCCTTGGTCGGAGCCGGCAACTTGTCCCGGACCCCGCGGTGAGTCCCGGGCGGGCGGGGGGCGCCCTGGGGGCGCGGGGGGGGCGCAGGGGGGGCGCGCTGCAACCGCGGGGGCGCCGACCTGGGGGGCGCGGGGGGTGCAGGGGGGCGCCCTGGGGCGCGGGGGGGCGCAGGGGAGGCCCGCAGGGGGCAGCCCCTGCCCCGGGGAGGTCTGGGCTGCAACCGCGGGGGCGCCGACCTGGAGGGCGCGGGGGGCGCCCTGGGGTGCGGGGGGTGCAGGGGGCAGCCCCTGCCTTGGGGAGGTCCGCGCTGCAACCCCAGGGACGCCGACCTAGGGGGCGCGGGGGGCGCCCTGGGGCGCAGGGGGGGGCGCGCAGGGGGCAGCCCCTGCCCGGGGGAGGTCCGCGCTGCAACCGCGGGGGCGCCGACCTGGGGGCGGGGTGGGGGGCGCTGGGGATCGCCAGCCGCAGCGCTCACGCCGATTTGGGGGGGGTTTCCTCTTTTTTTTTTTTTTTTTTTAAATGCAAGGTCTGTTTCCATTCGGTCCCTGTCGGATCTCCTCCCGGTTCCGAACTCTCTCGCCACTTTGACTCTCCCGAGCCGCAAGCGCCGCGCATGACCCCAGGTCTTCCTGGGGCGCCGACCTCCGTGCCCCGCGGGGATGCCCTCTACGCGGGGGCTCCGGTCGCGGGGGGCCTACGGGGATGAAAGTTCCCCGACCCCCTGCGTCCCCTCCCGGCAAGCAGGGTGCGGGCAACCCGGCGTTTACCCCGCCCCCCCCTCCAGGTGATGCAGGTGGGACCTGACTTGTAGGGGCAGCAGGTGCGGGAGGCTGCGGGTCCTCCCCGCCTCCCCCTGCCGTGGCTCTGGGTCCCCGTGCAAACCGACATCTCCCCGGTTCCTCCTTGAACTTGCTGCTGTGACTTTCCTTGACCGGCTGCCCTGCATGTGGGAGCCAGGCGGCTGGCCCTCGGGGCCACACCCCCACATCCCAGGCCCCCCACCCCGGGGACACCTGCAGATTAATGTCCCCCCCCAAAAAAAGAAGGAGGTGATGTCTCCTGAGTACCTGGCTTCTCTGCTTCTGCAGCCACAGCCTCCATGCGAACCCGCCTCTCCTGCTTCCTGTGCCTCAGTTTCCATCACACGCACTGTGTTACTAGGGCACCTCCGGAGACTTGCGGGAATGCCAAAGCGCTGAAGCGCCCTGAAGATGGAAATTGCTTTGGTTTCTAGACTTCCCTTGAACAGAACTGTGGTGCTGTAGGTGCTCTGATTTGACTCTATCAGAAAGTGATGCCTGTGCTCCACCGGTGTTAAGAATTGCTGCTTTCTGTTGCTTTGAAACGCAGTTTCTACCTAAGCAAAAGGAATCGTGTGTTCTTTTGGTGATGTCGTCAAGCTGAAGTTCACAGATTGCTTGTGGGGTCAGATCTCTTAATCCTCTGTCCTCTCCTCTCCTGTGGAAGCGTCTGCTTTTTGGGGTGAGCTTTCCGACCCTGTCTCTAGATTGAGATGCGGTTTATAAGCGTGTAGGTGTCTTTTTGGCACATCCTACTTTTATACGGAGCTGTAAGTATCAACTTTATAATGTTTTTGTATTCTTTTGTGTAATGACCCCCTCCCCTCCCTTCTCTAAAATGGGGTTGTGTGTAGTCGAGGTGGATATTCCAGTGTCTGGGGCTCGGTGATAGGTTCCATCCTGCTGTTGGAGATTCTGAGCCCCGTTTTCTTACAAGAACATAGAGAATCCAGCAGAGGTATCTGGACATGAGGGACAAAGTTTACTAGGAAGTTTCACTTGCATCATTTCTGTTTTCGATCGGTGCCGTTCAGAAGCGCTGCTTAGGGGCAGAAGACTACAATTTTGCAGAGCGTTTGCAAGAGAGGCAGGTGGAGAGTGTGCAGGTGATTCAGAGGATAGTCTATTGGTGCCAGTGAAAGGACTAACAGCTGTAGTCACTGCCTTTTTCCCCCCTGTAACAATTTCTGCAGGGATTAGGTGCACAACCACCGAGAGCCCAGCTGCCTCTGTACCCCAATCCCAAGGGTAAGGAGGAGAAAGAAGGAAAGAGTCACCCAGCAAGGAGAAAGCATGCCTGCCTACTAGTTTTCTTGCTAGTTGGAAGCCTGGTGGTGCCAAAGAGCACTTAAATTTAACCCTGTGGCTGCCCTGGTTCCCAGCTCTAGAGGAACCGATTGTTGTTTCTAAGAACTAAAAGGAGAAGTGAATTGTATTCTTTCAGAAATACTTTTCTCTAGGTTGTCTTCTGAAATATCAGAGCAGGAGGACAAATGCTGCAGAAAGGGAACGGTGATTAATATTCAAGATGCTCTTTAGGTCGCTTTTGAATTCTTCTGGGGAAACTGGGAAAATTATTCTTTTTATTATTAATCTCTCTGTGTGGTGTCCAAGTCCTAAATTTGGTCCCATCTTTTCTTTCCCCGATCACCATCCCTATTAAAACTCCAAGGACCACGATCAATGCAATTCCATATCATAACCCCAGGGGCTGTGAGACTAAGCCAACATGAGTTACATAACCATTAAGTAAGACATTTTAACATTCAGGTACATTACATTCCACTTTTATTGAGCAGACACAGTTTTCATGGTCTAATAAAATATTTTTATTTGATAGTCTGTCCTTGGTTATAGCCTCATGTAATCAAGAGAACAGCATGCTTAAGACTTTGTATCCAGAACTCTAAAGTCCAGTTGTGGTTCACTTATTAATAACTCACTGGGGAGATTAAATTCCTAGTTATCAGCAGGATCTCCCAGGCCGTACTTTAAATATAGACCCGATTCCTACTTTGTCCTGTGCCTCAGTTTCCACAAAACAGACTCTCAGGGAATTGTGGGTATTTAACAAAGACCTTTAACTGTAAGAGTATTTCTGAGCGGTCACTTCATCTAGGGACTAAATTATACGCTTACTTTGTATCGAGCTGTAAACAGCAAATCTGTTAGTTTACGATGCTCTTTTCTACAGTCAAATGCAGAAAAACTGAAGTCTGAGCTTTGGTGGACGGTCAATAAAGAATCACGAGGCCTCTACGAGAAACATAATAAAATTTAATATTTAGGCTTATACACCCTCGATTTCCCTCTCCTCCCCAAAACTTCTGCAATAAGATCTAAAATAGCTTTTATTGTGTGATGATATATTTCAAACAGTGACCAAGTGTGTTCTTTGTAAAGGACATTTACTAGTTGTGTAGTTGGGCGAATTACCTGAATTTTCTGTGCCCCAGTTTCCTGAAGTATAGAATCAGAATATTAATACCCACCTTACAGAGATTAAATCAATTAGTACATGTAAAGCACTAAGAACTAGTGACTGACGTGTGGGAAGTACTCAATAAATGTCAGCTATTAGTAGAAGTATTAATATTAATTTAAATACAAATTAAATACCTGTCTTAACCATCATTACCCTGACCTGCAGTGTAGGATTTTTTTTTTCAGTGTAGGATTTTTTTAAATCATGTATATTTTTTTTCTTCAATTACATACACACACACACACACACACACACACACACACAACATTGATTAAGGTTAATATCTTTCATCCCTGGGTGTAAACCACTGACTTTTGGTTTAGTGAGTGACCATTTTCAGAATGTTGTCTAACCAGTTAATAGATACCCACATCGGCAGTGGCTGTAATTTTGAACTGTAACGATAAAAGTTGTTTTTAAGACTAAAAATAAACTGTCACAAGTATTTGTTCCTTTTTGTTTTTATCTGTATCGATGTTTCAAATTATTGCTTAGTCAAAACCTCAAAGTATTAGTCATTGATTTCTATGCTTGTAAAGCAAGTCACTGGCCAAGATATAAAATTCACCTTTGACGTTGTCCAAAGTTCAGAAGAGTGAGTTTAAAACTTTGCTTTATGATGGTACAGCAATTATTTGCTAATGAACTGCCGAAGGAATCTTATGTGAGTATTTAGCCGAGTCTTCCTCTCTAATTTAGTTTGTATCTTCAGTGATATATGCGAAAAAAAAAAAAAAAGATTATGGCTTGTCGTGTCAGATTCATCGGGTCTATCCTCTGTTTTCAGAATCAAAATTCTGACTTTCAACAACAACAAAAATCTATTTCTATCTAAAAAGAATTAACCTTTTTTTTAATTTAGCTACATTGAGCATTTAGAAAATTGTACATATATTTTCTTTTCTCTTATTTTTATCTATTTATTAATTTGTTATTATTAGTTATCTAAATACTTTTTTTTTTTTACAGGTTTTAGGTGATGGGCAGATCAGAAAGTCAGATGGATATAACTGATATCAGCACTCCAAGGCCAAAGAAACAACGATGGACCTCCCTGGAGATCAGTCTCTCCGTCCTTGTCCTGCTCCTTACCATCATCGCCGTGACAATGATCGCACTCTATGCAACCTATGATGGTGAGTTACTCCCACACCTGTGCACACAGACATGCACAAGAGAGTAGAATCTTCATCTTATGCTTTTTTCATCTATCAAAAGAATGTGGTAAGGAGAGCGATGCTTAAAGATGGTATAAAGATTCCTTCATAAGATGGAACTTTGGGACACGTCAGGTGCTCAGTGGTTGAGCATCTGCCTTCGGCTCAGGGTGTGATCCCGGGGTCCTGGGATCGAGTCCCACATGGGGCTCCTTGCGGGGAGCCAGCTTCTCCCTCTGCCTGTGTCTCTGCCTCTCTCTCCGTGTCTCTTACAGATACATAAATAAATAATCTTTAAAAAGTAAAAATAAATTAAAAAAATAAAATGGAACATCAGTATATTGAAACAATTAACTCTGACTAAAGTACAATGTCTTTTATGTTTCAGCTAAATTATTAATAATAATTGATGAGCATATTTAGCACACTCATGCTTATTCTGTAAGAATTCTAAGGTAAAATTTTATTTGATTCAAATGTACATAATTTTATGGCCAACTTCAATTAGTGAAATTTGTTGTGTCATTGAAATTCTAAAGGGCTTCACAGGAATCCAAGAGGTCTAATTTGTGTCTTAGAAGTTTTTCACAATAAGGATTAGAAAAGATTGGTTCTTTAATAGGAGAAAAAAAAGATTACCAGACTAAAACGACTGATTATTTCAATTTAATAGACCTAGGTCTTAGTGGGTAGAGACGATAAAGTAAATGCATTGTTTTCTTCATAATAAAAAAATTTAAATTTAGAATTTGCCGATTTTATTTCTCTATGTTTTTTCTGGCTATTGACAATGATATATAATACTCAGGTTTTAGCTCTTGCTTTAAGGAATTGATTATTTAGTTGGCAGTTTTTAAAAGAACAAAAGATAGGGAGAAATTAGAAAACCAGATTGCAAATATTTATGTATATACCCTTCTTTTTCTAGATGGTATTTGCAAGTCATCAGACTGCATAAAATCAGGTAAGAAGATGGTTTTTAAATTTAATAGTTTTACAAGTAATGTATAACGTTGAAAAATCAGATGCTGAAAGGCAACTATCTCTACATTTTCTTTGTTTATACTTCTATTCATCATACCTCATTATTTATAGTGAAGGAAAATCTAAGAATATTTAAGTAGTAGATCAATTAGTTAGTTTGTCATAAAAAAGAATTCACTCTTTTCATACCTGGAGTGTATGGTTGGGTGATAGAGAACTATATCTCCAGCATAGGGAGCTTGCTGTGTATAGTTGGAGAAAGAAAATCAACCCATTGAAATAATGAGCATCCTGTCATTATGTTATTTTCTCAATGCAGGTCATCCGGGGGGTGGGGGGTCAGAACTAAGAAGGGAGTGAAATGTAATCTGTAAAGCTAGGAGAAGTGGAGATTTGAGGGAGCCCTCGAAACAGGGCTGGGGTTTGGAAGTAGAGGTACAGAAGAGGGAATTCCATACAGGGTGAATGAGCAATAGGAGTAAATCCTGTTGTTGAGAAGCAGCGAATAGGTAGGCTTGATAGATAGGGACCCATTACGGAGAGCTTTGAAAATCCACGTTAGCCTTGATGTCCTAATGAAGGAGCAATGGATATTTTCCAGAACAGATCGTTCGATAAGGCAAAAGCTGAAAGGTGATTCCAGAAATGATGGGTTGGGTGGGTTGAGTAAGAAGTGATGATCCGGAGAGTGTGGGCAGGTGGGGGCTGCTGCCGTAATGCAGGTGTGCATCGAGGAGCCAGCCCGTGGTGGGGTGAGAGAGCTTAGGTGACAACGTGAACGGGGAACTGGATGGCTCGGTGGAACGCACATGCTAAATGAAGGACATGAATGATTTGGAAATGAGGCCAAATTTTAAAACCTAAGGGGGGATCCCTGGGTGGCGCAGCGGTTTGGCGCCTGCCTTTGGCCCAGGGCGCGATCCTGGAGACCCGGGATCGAATCCCACGTCGGGCTCCCGGTGCATGGAGCCTGCTTCTCCCTCTGCCTGTGTCTCTGCCTCTCTCTCTCTCTCTCTCTCTCTGTGTGTGACTATCATAAATAAAAAATAACAAAAATTAAAACCTAAGGGGCTCAGGAGAATGGTGGAAACGCGCACAGAAATAGAGAAGTTAGGAGGTAAGTTTGTTTTAGGGAGAGATATGATTAATATGGATTAGGGCATGTTGGGTCTGAGCCGCCCGGGGTTACACGCCAGTGGGGATAGACAGCAGAAAGATAGACACGGAGTGTACGAAGACCTGTCATGCGGTGCATTTAGGATCTGTCCGGGGGAGATACGGGAAGTCGTAGGAGTGTTTGAGCTCCCCAGACGGAGATGAGCTATTAAGGGCCAGACTTAAGAAGATGTTGAGAATTAGAGTGCAAGGAGAAGAAAAGCCAGGGAAGGGAACCAAGACAGCGTGTGGAGTTGTAAGATGTCACATCAGTTAGCGTGTGGTGCGAAAAAGAAGAGCATTGTGACCGGGAGAAGAAAGGTGGTCGCTGAGCAGCACCCTGGGATACGGACTAGGTATCTACCTCTTGTCTCCCTCGGCAGGAGATTGTAAGCCCCCTTTATAATGTTTACATTTCTTCCAAGAAATAACCTGTCCCTAATGATTTTGAACCACTTGCTATTAGATGGCTTTATCTGGGTTTTTGCTATTCATTGACCTTTGAAAAATAACAATGAGAAAATATCTTGGGATTTTAGGTGATCAAGTCTAATGTTCCAAATGTTTTGCCTTTTGCTTTTTCTGTATTGCTCTTTGATATTTTTATTGCCGTAGTCATTCTGGATCTCATGCGCCCCGGCAGGACACCTGAGACTTGATGTGGGGGGTGCTGGAGGGAGGCCTGATTGGGACATGGGCCAATGGCTGCTTGGCGTACTAACAGGGACTTGCCCATCCATGGGCCTTCCCAGAAACAAAAGAAGTTGCTTTATTCCCCCAGGAAATGTACACAGATAGCCTGCCTAGGAGATGGCCTGGGTCCCTGCGCCAGAGTTCGAATGTGCCCAGGCCGTCAGAGTTACCATCTGCTCCTCCCCCAAACCCTGCCCCACTTTTCTCTTTACCAGCTACCCTTATGTACTCATTCCCTGTCCTGTTTCCAGAAACCCCCAGTCGGTATGTATGGACCTCTACTTGTCTCCAAGTTTCTCTGTCCTAAATACACTTGATGTGTCTTCTGTCTCTATAGTTTCTCTTTCATTCTTTCTCTCCTTCTCACTGTGTTTTTCTCTTTCTTTTTTTTCTTATTTTTTTGAGGAAATGGAATCCTTTGGCTGGGTAGGCATAGAGATCTGGGCAGGTTCCTCGAGTGGCACCAACCCCCAAGAGCAGTGTGATACCTAGAATCTGGAATCTCATATGGGACTTACCGCTTAGGGGTAGGGCTTTGGCTTTTTTAAGTAGTGTCTGGCAAATCTCAATTCATTAAGGCGTATTTAACGTGTATCCTTTCATCGTAGGTCAGAAATCACACCAAATGTAAAACACCTCCTCCCAACACTGTTTCTCTCAGCAGAGAAATGGATAGGCTAGAAATAGTGTGGCTGGTACACAAAGTTGCTGAAGAACTCTGTTTTTTTGTTTTGTTTTGTTTTGTTTTATTCAGCTCTGTTTGTTTACAAGCTGGTAGACTCCTTTGACTATTTATAGTTACTGTTCTTCCTGGGAGAACAAAATGAAGATGAAACTCACTCTTAGGGATACAGTATTCACACCCATGCACACCCATGCAGGCTCACACACCCACAGTCCCCTGCTGGGTCGTAAACCTTTTCTGCCATAGAAGATAAAACTACTGTTCTCAGAAGTTGTTCCAAATTAACAAAATTCTAGGGGAATTCTTGGACAGGACAAAGTATTAAAGAAAGGGAAGAAGGAGCAGAGTAAATGGCTGGAAAGGAAAAGAAAGATGGGGGGAAAAAGGATGTTGAAAAGGATGCAAGTCTTCTACCAACAATTCTAGATAACGTTAAGAAGACTGGGAGAAAATTCCAACCCAAGCACAGGACGTTCTTGAGGATTGGAAAAGCAGGTATTGATAGACAAGGTGCTCACGTTCCTGTGAAGGCTGGTTCTGACTTAAATCTTTCTCCTGGTGGATGAGGATGCCATGGCTCGTGATCAATAAGCTGCACAGCTCCTAGAGTCCCAGCTGCCTCAGAGGGCCGCCGTGGACACGACTGGAAACATTGGTTATGACACCCAGGCTTGGGCTGAAATGTCACATTTGAGAGAAACATGCCTAGACTCACATATGGCCAGACATCTTTACGGAGCCAATAAAGCTCTGGGAAAAACAGCCTGCTACCTTGCTCACAAGATTCCTAGCAGCCTAACCAGCCCCGTAAACTGAATATGAGTGACCTGATGGGAAATCGCTGCAATAGCTCACACACAGACAGTCTACCTGCCTGTTGCTCTCTGGGCCACTCAGAAGGATTACCAGATTTGTTTAAATTACAAACCAGGGAGTCCCTGGCTGGCTCACTTGGTGGGGCACGCGGCTCTTGATCTTGGGGTTCGAGCTCCACATTGGGCGTAGGGTCAACCTAAAAAAAATAAAATAAATAAATTATAAGCCAGGAAAAAAACCAAAACAAACTCTTTGATCCTTTGAAGTCAAAGGTCAAGTCATACTAAGCCAAAAATGAAATACTGCAGAAGGCCGTGGATCATCTTGAAATGTATCTGGTGTTAGGTACGTTAAAATCTGAGCATCTGTACATTTAAATATTTATAATATACATAAGTGATGTTTATAACATATGCTTAAGGATAATTTGCGTGTATAGGAGACGCAGCAGTATGAAAGATTACACCAAACCTAAAATAAGACAAACACTATTTAACAAATAGCCAGTTAAGGCGGTGTTCAAAACCCTACTATTAAGGCATGAGTAATATTATTCATCTCTTATTTACCATCTAAGATCATCAAAAACACGGAGTTACAGAGCTTGCTTCTGATTTCTCAGACTTCTCCGTGTAAATCTAAATCCTCAAACTGGCTTCCATTGCATCATAACCTTCCCCACTCGGAGGGTTTCAAGGAATCACATGGTATAAATCAGGGCTTCTCAGCTTCATCAAGTTGACATTTTGGCCTGGATAATTCTTTGTTGGGGGAAGTGTTTGTGTCACACATTTTAGGATGTTTAGTGGCAGCCCTGGCCTTTTAGCCACTAGATGTCTAGAACCGTTCCCCTCCCAACTTGAGGCAACCAAAAAATGTCTCCACATATTGCCATGGCCCTCTTGGGACAGTAGAATCATCTTTAACGAGGTGGCCACTGGCCTGAATGATCTCAAGAGATCATCCAGGGCTTTTCCCTTTGTGGTAGGTGGAACAATGCCTCCCTGAAGGTACCCACTTCCTATCCTGGGATCCAGTGAGTGTGTTACCTTATGTGGAAAAAAGAGAGACTTTGCAAATTTGATCTCGAAAGGGGGAGATTATGCTGAATTATTTGGGTGGACTTATGTAACCACTAGTGTTCTTTTAATGGGAAGGGAGCAGGGAGGGTTAGAAAGAGAAGGGGATGTGGCCACAGAAGTGCGGGAAGCAGAGGTTGGAGTGAAGCAGCTACAAGCCAAGGGATGCGAGCAGCCGGGAGGGGGAGGCAGTGGGTGGCCCTCATAGCATCCAGGAGGAATGCAGCCCTGCCAAACCCTCTAGAACTGTAAGACAGTGAGCCCTGGCAGTTAAGCCATTGGCTTTGGGGCAATTTGTTAGAGCAGTGAGAGGGAACTAATACACCCTCCATAGTTCCCTATTTTAAGGCTATCTCTGAAGAATTAAAACATGCACATGCATACACATGCAAATAAGTGAGTAAATAAGTAAATAAATAAGTGAATGAATAAGTAAATAAATAAATGAGTAAATAAGTAAACAAATGAAGCTACTACTTTATTACTACATTGAGGTGTGTCATATGGAGGTATCAGGAAGGAACGTTATACAGATTTATAGAGGAGTATAAT